ACTTTTGAAGATATCTCTTTTACTTTAAGAGATATCTATTTAATTTGGTAAGATATCTCTTAAAAGAGATATCTCTCTAGGTGAAAGAGATATCTCTGTAACGTTAACGTTCAGATATATCTCTTTTCACGAAAGAGATATCTCTCAAGTAGAAAAAGATATATGTTTAAGAGGAAGATATATCTCTCTTATAAAAACAGATAACTCTCGAAGTATAAGAGATATCTCTCTTAGTTTAAGAGATATCTCTTTCAAATAGAGGTATCTTTCAAAAAGGAGAGATATCTCTTTAAGTTTGGAGATACATGTATCTCTATTTTTTAAGAGATATCTCTCTTAAATGAGAGATATCTCTGTAATTTTATGATAAATTTTATTTTCGAATACTGTAGAAGTACTTTATTCCGCGTGGTATTAATTTACGCTATGTACACGGGCACAAATTTTCCGCGGAAATTTGTCCAAGCGGACTTAATACAAATGTAAGGCATATAGTGCCAATCTAGGAAATCCGCGTAATTTTCTACCCGTGGATTAAACAGAAATTGAGATTCCGCGGAATTATGACCCCGTGGAAAAAAGTACGTCTACAGTAAATAGCAAAAGGGCTTGTCATACAATACCTGTCGGTAAAGATGATTGCATATTAGTAAAAAAAACTTGCAGTATTTGTAAATATATAATATTTTTATGGTAAAAGATCGGAACAAGATTGTTGTAACTACGAAAACATGCCTTCTGATTTACATATCAGAAGGCATGTATGATGTAAACAATGATGTAAACAAATCTAAGAGGGGTCAGCTATTCATTTGCTGTTAGCATTATATTTCATTTCTTTGCCTGCAAAAAATGTGGAATGTGACAAAATCTAACTATCAAATACAACAAGCAAATTAAAAATTTGTGGTCCCCGCTTTCGATGTCTTTGTGATTAAGATGTTATTTTTTATGACATATTGTGTCAAATATGAACGCAATATCATATGTCATTCAAAAATTATCACTGAAATTGATTTTTTAAAAAAAAGGTCATTCGTGAAGGTCAAAGGGTCAAAAATCATAGCATGCTCGGAAATATCTTGTCACATGAAATTCGCATGTCAAATATGAAAGTCCGTCTCTTCTCCATAAAAGGTAAAAGATGCATTTGTGAAACACTGATTCCCCCGTATGGCAACATAGGAAAGAATAAACTTTTCTTAAATGCAAATTAAATATATTATTATCCAAAGTAGGGTCTTCTCACACGAAATGCAATTGTGAAATACGAAATCCCAAGCATCACTTGTTCACAAGTAATGGCCAAGGATAAATTTTGACAGGATAGGACAAACTCCAAGGGTCAAAGGGTCTAAGTTGTTTTTTTAAAGAAAGGTTTTGTCACAAAAATTACATGTGTGAAAGATGTAAATCCTAACCCTAACCGTTCAAAAGTTTTGGCCAAGGTGAACGTTTTTTAAAGTAGGTCAAACTCCAAGAACAATGTCATTCTTTATATCCGATAAAAGGTCCTGTCACATGGATTAAATTTATGAAATATGGAAGCCTTAGCCCTAACCCTTCAGAAGTTATTGTCAAGGTTTTTTTTTACAAAGTAAATTCAACTCCAAGGTCAAGGTCAAAGGGTCAAAGTTCTTGGTATCCAATGAAAGGTCTTCTCACAACGATAACATATGTGGAATATGAAAGCCCTAACCCTTACCATTTAAAAGTTAAGGCCAAGGTTGAATTTTTTTTATATAAGTACGGAAATCTCAACGGTCAAGGTCAAAAGGTCAAAGTTGTTCGTATCAAATGAAAGTTCTTGCCACAAACAATACGAGGTTTGTCCCATAAAATCGTGGACAAGTTGTCTAGTTTGAAAAGTAATCATATCTGAAATTTGAAATCTGAAATTTTCACTACTTTTTAGTACATATATTATGAATATACAGAGCAAATTTCAAATAGATATCTGCATAAATAAACAAATTATTAGATGTTATGTATTGTATCGCCCTACGGCGCACGGATGATAACGTCAAAGTGTCTAAAACAGCGTCACGTATCATCTTTGCTAAAATAAAGTTGGATAAGTCCCACTTAATTTAAAAATTCCATTGATTCATATACGTGAGTGTCTATAACCAGATAAGGAACCCATCTGGCACACACATGCAATCTTTTGAAAATTCATTAGCACGTTTTGGACAGTATTCTCACCAGCATTTAAATAACAGAGAATCTCATATCAACGGTCGACAATGACAGCGTCTTTTGCTATTACAAAACCAGTTTGTCCGTATATTTTGTACTACCTGAGGACTCAATCAAAAAGAATTCACTAAGAAAACTTCCATTTCATTTATATTCTAAAGATCTGGTGATTTTTGTCATATTTTCTTTCTTCTGTAATCATTTAAAGTCTCTTAAGGTATCATTACAACATCCAAATCTAACTGAACTGCTCTCCGGTGCGCCGTAACGTCACAAAAATCGCGATTTTTTTAGTATTGTGTTTATCACTTTCCAATGTCGAAAAACCGGGAAACTGCCAAAAAATAACCAAATGCATTGAAATTTTCATAAAGACGACAAAATTGATTAAGGAATCGAATAATGATACTTTTCATTCCAATTTTATGTATTGAAAACTTTTATTACGAATTAATTCTTGTGTATTCTCTAATATAACCTTGTTATTTTTACCGTGCGCCGTAGGACCGTACCCTGTGCACATTCAAGCATTATAAAATCTTTACTTTTGTCTATATATTATCAAAAACATAATAATGCACTTAAATATAATGAATAAACATTTACTGAAAATTTCAGCTTGGTGCGCCCATTACTTTTCGCGAAAAACGCTTTGTCCACAATTTTATGGGACAACCCTCGTACACATGTGAAATATAAAAGTCCTTGTATCTATCATTCAAACGTTATGGCTAAAGTAAAAGGTTTTATTTTTAATTTTTGTTTAAAAGTGGGTCAAATTCCAAGGTCAAGGTCAAAAAGTCAAACTTGGTGGTACCTAAAAAAGGCCTTGTCATAAGAAATACACATGTGAAATATAAAAGTCAAAGCTCCGCTTTATCAAAAGTTATGGGCAAGGTTAAAGTTTTTGTGACGGACTGACAGACTGACTAACAGACGGACAGACGAATAAGATTTAATGTCTCCTCACTTTCGCGAAAGCGGGGAACAATAATGATGCAAAAAATACTGTTCTTGAGGTCTAAATTGTCACAGACGGACAGCTAGACAACCAGACGGGTGTGAGACCCCATAGTGTGGCTCTGTTCAGCTTGCAACACAAAAATTAAATTCTATCTAGAACCCCGATAGAATCATTAATTTGTAAACATTTCAAAATTTTTTTTTCAACTTTTCTTTTTTTTCTTTTTTTTCAAATCATTTATTCAACAAGAGGCCCAGGGGCCACATCGCTCACCTGAGCAATTGGCTAGGAAAAGGCACATATCAGATCAGAACTGAAAGTTTACTGGGGGGTGGGGGGGGAGGGGGCTTGAACTTCAACTCTCCAGGGGGTCTTGATTTGAACAAACTTGAATCTACACTACATGAGGATGATTCCACATGAGTTTCATCTTTCCTGGCCCAGTGGTTCTTGATAAGAAGATTTTTAAAGATTTTTCCTATATATTCCTATGTAAAACTTTGATCGGCCATTTTGGCCCCACCCTACCCCCGGGGGTCATGATTTGAACAAACTTGAATCTACACTATCTGAGGATGATTCCACATGAGTTTCATCTTTCCTGGCCCAGTGGTTCTTGAGAAGAAGATTTTTAAAAGATTTTTCCTATATTTCCTATGTAAAACTTTGATCGGCCATTTTGGCCCCACCCTACCCCCGGGGGTCATGATTTGAACAAACTTTAATCTACACTACATGAGGATGATTCCACATGAGTTTCATCTTTCCTGGCCTAGTGGTTCTTGAGAAGAAGATTTTTTAATAAAGCCATTATTTTTTCTCTAATTCATGATTATCTCCCCTTGGAAAAGGGCGTGGCCCTTGATTTGAAAAAACTTGAATCCCCTTCACCCCAGGATACTTTGTAGCAAGTTTGGTTGAAATTGGCCCAGTGGTTCTTGAGAAGAAGATGAAAATGTGAAAAGTTTACAACGACAACGCCGACAACGACAACGACGACAACGACAGACAACGGACAAATTTTGATCAGAAAAGCTCACTTGAGCCTTTGGCTCAGGTGAGCTAATAATGTACAACATAACAGTGAGGCAAAACTTCCACAGAAGCCCTCTAGTAATACTTCACCAGGGATGCCAGGAGCTCCCTGGATCGATATAATATTATATGATATATTTCCAATATTTGAACACAGAATTTTTCACATTATACTAATATATAATTATTGCCGCTTCATTTTCATACATATACATAAATTCTCAAAGGAAATTTTTACCATTTTTATATACAAAAAACAAAGTATTCGTTTAACACCAATAGAAATCGTTTAACGTTTCTTAAGTTAACCGTATGTGTGAGGCTAGTTTTAGGCCAAATCGAAGATAAATTTTAGCATAAGCACGTAAACAGCGAGAGAGAAAAATCTTTTTCCATTAGAGGAAGGTCATTAAACATCATAAAATGAAAAACGTATATGCACTTATAAAATAACTCTCTTTAATCAGTTTATGTAACTTAGTCCTAAAAATACTAAGATTTTTTGGATTAAATAAATATTCTTAAAATACATCAACTGCTCACGTTTTTTAGTCGTTTTTGTAATAGTTCTTAAAATGACAACAGCGATAATCAAAAGTCCTGCCGTCGCACAGATTCCGATAATAACGAAATGGTAATCATTTAAAATCAGTCATCATTTTCAACATCTATAAGTTATGATTTAATAATATGATTAAAAATATTTCAAGTAAAACATTTGTAACATTGCAAGATTCTTTAGAAAAAAACATAATTACTTGCGTATCATAAATTCTAACTTTGTTAATATAACAAAACTTACACTTAACGGTAGAAGTGGAATTAGCGTACAGGGTGTTGAGACTTGGCTTTGTCACCGATACACTACTTTGAGTTAGTGTGGTAGGTCTGATTTCTACAAAAAAAAAAAAAAACAGTATGGACATACCATCTACGTTGATTTGTTTTCAATTACAATAATGTTTCAGAGTGTTTTCTTTATCTAAACAAAAATACTTTCTTAAGTTTTTAGTAAAGGAATTTCTGTTGCAGCTATTGCAGAAAAATCTGCAATAGCAGCTAGCTTAATTCCCACACTAAAAATAATAAAGACATTTTATAAAAAGTAGGAGAATGTACGTTAAATATTATATCAATGACACAAAGAACTATGTATGTACACCACTGTATGTTTCATTGGTAGAGGAGCTACTGTTTAAAAAATGTATTCGATGCTTCATAACAAGATTAAAGGACGACTTTGGTTTTCATAAGAAACAAAAGAGATAATATTGAGAGGTTTAAAGATGAAAAGTTTTTCTTCATTATTAATATTGGAGAATGTAATTTGTTATTATACCATTGTTTTTTATGTTGATAGTGAAACACTTTTTTATGCCTTTCGTTCTTAATGTAATATAAAAATTAAAAAAATGTCTATTATAAATAGAGAATTGTTTTTGAATTAATAAAAACCGCAATCTCATCACTGTGTCCGTTATGTATGTATGGATTACATGGTTCATGTAAAGAGCACATTGAAGTCAAGTAAAGATTTACTTACCTTCAATAATGACAAAAATCTTCGGGCTATGTGTATAGTTCTTATTTGTTGCCAAAACACGACAAAAGAAATAACTATAGGTCCTCCTGACGACAGTGTTATTTAAGAGTAAAATTTTTCCTCCGACTCTCTTCACATCTCTTCCGTCTTCATAAAAATACCAATCATGTGTGCAGTTCGGGCAGTTAGATTCACATGTTATGTTCTTTGTGGGCTCTTCTTCAAAATCGGAATAAAATAGTTTTTCAATGTTCGGTGTTACAGTTACATTAAAAGCTGAAATAAAAATGTTGCAAAATATGTTTATACAACTGGAAAATATCTAAAGAAAGATGTCATTAACTTCTAAACATGATTATTATAAAGTATGTATATATATATATATATATATATATATATATATATATATATATATATATATATATATATATATATATATATATATATATATATATATATATATATATATATATATATATATATTTGAATATTTAAAATTAGGCACTATTAGGCGATATATTGGATATCCGGGCATAAAGCCCATGAGAGCTTATACAATTATTGGACGTCGTCCTCTGCATAGAAGTCCTAGGCCTGTCTGTTTTCCTACACTGTTTTAAAATGATGCTCATTGTGCTGTTCACATATTCAAATTTGTTTAACTAATGAAAATCAAGTTAGGGATTTTCAATAAATTGACAGTTTAAATCAATCATGATTTTTTTTTGTAAATGTAAAATTTATGTTACTATGGAGAAAAAATTCAAAATTAAAATTTTTATTCATTTAATTTTATAAATTCATACACTCAAATATAAACGCATTGTTAGTATAGAAATGCAATGAAATAATATAGTCTAAGACAAAGATCCTTGTAACATATGGATAATTGTAATATTTCTAATTAGTTTCCATGATTTCAATACCGCAAAGGAATACAGATTCTCCCTTCTTGGTAACTATAGCAACAGTATTAAGTTTTAAAATAAATTTTACCAATCATTGATAATCGACTTTCTTTCAGATTATTAATATTCAAAATAAGTTTTAAAAAATATGTGTCTTATTAAAGTTTACAGCCTATATATCAGAAATTCCAATCAGCTTCTGTACCGACTTTCGTATTTTGGTCATAATGCAATAATTTAATTGTGCTGTATTTTTTAAAGAATTTTATGCAAAATTTTATTGTTTTATATAAAACCAATCTTGATTAAAAAAAATTATTCTATAGGGTTTTATTTTCGCAATGTATCCGCAGCATTTCAAACAATAACTCATTGAAATAGATGTAGTAAAAAAATTCTCTCTATTAATATTAGGTCTTTCAACTGCCGCAAGTGTTCGATATTATGAACGATAATTCATTGGTGAAACTTGATCAGAGCAGGTCCGAGGTATCTAAATGTTTATACGCAAGTCCATTTTTAGCGCTTCCAAAGTGTTTCTTTGCTATCAGTAGAATCCAGTGGTTTGAAAATTTAGCACTAATGTTAAACTTATTTACCATATAGTTGCGGATACCGTTTAATTACATATAAGTAAAATTATTAATTAAAATAAAAAGTGAAATCTACCCCCTTTCTTAGTTCTAACCTGATTAAATTTTCATACTCGGCTGTTCCTCTTCGTGCTTAGTAACACAAATATGATAATTAATTGTTGCATTTATATATATCTATGTAGGAAGCGCAAAAATGCACACACTAAAACACGACCATATATTTTCCTCTTTATAACAATCGCGAAAGAGTGGTAACTTTTTTGAATATAGTCCGTTCTCTACTCATTTGACCCTGTTATTTCAGGTAGAGTGAAGACATTCTCCTTCTTTTGGTCAACACCTTTGTGTACAAAACAATGTAAGGAACCCTTTTGTGTACATAACAATACCAATGCTGAAGCAGCCTATATGTATGGTGGCATATGTCTGCCCCCTACATGCAAGATAAATTATGTTAACATGCAACATAATAATGTAGACATACAACGTATTTATGTCAACATGCAAATTACCAATCAAATAAGAAAATATAAGAATTAAATATGGACAAATTTACTTACTAACGCCTGTATCTGACATTTAAGATGCAAGATGTAACATACATGTAATTATATAGACATGCAACTTATTTATGTCAACATGCAAGATAATTATGCCAACATGCAAGTAAATTATGCCAACATGCAAGTAAATTATGTTAATATGCAAGATAATTATGTTAACATGCGAGATAATTATGTAGAAATGCAAGATATTTCTGTCTACAATCTTTGCCCAAGCTTTAGAATAAAGACCTAATGACAAAAACAATGAGGCCTTAATTATATTTTTGGGACTGCTCTTGACCTGCATAGCATGGGTCTTATAAAACATTTTGCCAGGACCAAAAATATATTCTTCACCGCATTGTAGCTTGTATATTTTTACTTCGTTCTTCCACTACTGTACTTTTTATGATATTTGTCTTTGATAGAAAGTAACGTTTGAGCTTTTGTCTTAAACTAGAAAACGGTACGGTAGTTCACCAGATTACAATTCCCATATCAATGTCATTAAGCTAATCAAAAATAGTCTTGATACACTATGAGTAAAGTACAATTTGAACTTGAAATAATCACGAGTTTGATGAACACTATGTAAAAAATTTCAACATAATATAGTATTTACTTTTCAAACTTCTTACAGAGGATTTTATTAGAGACTGTATTTCAAATCCTATATGCACAGAGTCAAGTTCTGTGATAAGTAATAGTTATAAACTTAGTAGTCGTGGGATCTCCTCATAGTGCGTGAAATTTAAGACATATGTAGAAAGTTTACAATACACAAACATTAAAATTAACTTTAACTATACACTCTTTGTCCGAGACACGTATAGCTTTTAGCCTGCCTGAAGTAGCAATACATCAACCTTCAGAAATAAAACATACTTGTTGTTTATAATATAACATATTTTTTTATATATTCTTTCTCCTACTTTATAAATAACCCATAGCTGATTTAAGAAAATAATTTTTGAAATTACTAGATTTTCACCAACTCTTTTTGAAGCCTCTTTTGGGTACTCCAGGGCTGCTTTAATTGTTTTGTTTTTTCTTTGAATAAATGAATGTGCATATGCATGTATTTTATACAACTTCTGAAGATAGTTATGATGAAAACAATTAAGTGCATTTCATACTCAGTTGAACCATATGTATTTGCAAGTATCAATAACTCAGTAGGAAAACGTCTTCTAGATTGTGTTTTTTTTTTCATTTTGAAAAAGGTCAGACTGACACAAAAATAAGATAATTGTTACTCACCATTTTGAAGAGAAAACCGCACAAAAATCAATGCGAGCACAAGACAAATGATGACAAATCTCTCCATCTGTATTTAACTGCTTTAGCGTATGTTGTTGCAAAACAAGGAAGAACATGTTTGTCTTAAATAAAAACACGGCACTTGGATTCATGAGTTAAATGAAGATCAAATACTTAAAATATATTATAGCATCCAATGGTAGATCTAAAGTGCATTAGCTTCTTCTTCCGTTGAAACATCCTTTATCTCAGTTTTCCACTTCTTTTTCTGTCTTGGTTTTTAGAGTCGGAACTGACGGATATATAATTATAGATTTTAATACTGACGTATAAAAACACACGTCTATTTTTCCACGCTTTTCCTTATCCTTATTTATCTGTATTTTTCTGTGAGACTGAGTTATCAGTAAGCGTCATTTTAAAACTTGGGACAGTCTTTCCCTATGGATCAGTGACTGGGTTATAATGACATTGTCAATAATGTTGGAAATCTTTCCAGTCTAAAGTGTAACAATGTAAATGTGATAGGACTTTTAAAACCATACACAGAGACGTAAGCGTTGTATGGTGGCATATTTCTGCCCCCTACATGCAAGATAAATTATGTCAACATGCAAGAAAATTATGTCAACATGCAAGAAAAGTATGTCAACATGCATATTTTAGTTGACATGCAAGTTACAAATCTTTTAAGAGGATCTAATTTAAATATAGGTAAAATATCGTACTGACTCCCGTATCTGACATCGTAGATGCAAGATGCAACATTATTATGGCAAGATGCGGGTTACTTATGTTGACATAATAGATAATCATGTAGACATGCAAATATATTTATGTTAACACACAAGATACTTATGATAACATGCGAGATAATTATGTAGACATGCAAGATATTTATGTTAACATGCTACTTATTTAAGTCAACGTGCGACCTATTTATGTGAACATGCGAATTATATTTTTACATAAAAGATATTTATGTCAACATGCAAGATAACAAGTATCATATCAACATACATATCTTGCATGTTAATATAATCATCTTGCATGTTGACATAAATAAGTCGCATATTAACATAATTATCTTTCATGCTGACATAAATACGTTGCATGTCTACATAATTATCTTGAATGTTGATATAAATAAGTCGCACGTCTACATAATTATGTTGCATCTTGCAACTACAATGTCAGATACCAGCGTTATAAAGTAAATTTAACCATATTTATTTTATATTTTCTTATAAGATTGTTAACTTGCATGTCAACATAATTATCGTGCATGTTGACATAAATATGTTGCATGTCTACATAATAATGTTGCATGTTAACATAATTTATCTTGCATCTATGGGGCAGAAATATGCCACGTAAGTGTAGTCATGGGCAACTGTCTTACAAATAACATTTCATACTTTTAATTCATTACTACATGTACCTTGCGTAAATCAACAGTTAGGTCTACATCATATTCGTACTAAACTTGAATCTGTCCCTTTGAAACTTTTAAATAGCCTTCTTGGAAAGGTTAAAGAAGGTTCATTTTTGATTCCTCGACACCAGAATATAGGCTCTGATCTGTGATTATGGATATTGCATATCATAAGCTTTTTAATCCCCCATGTTTTACTGAAGAAAATCCGTCTTTTCCTTTAACTTCAATATGCCAACAAAGGAAATGACGCCCTTAATATAAGTAAAAATATCCTTAATCACAAAAGGGTCCAGTCTTGCATTCCAACATAATTCAAGTTGAAGACTACACATGTATTTCCTATAAATATACATCGACTATTGAATCCAAACTTCTTGATTACAAGAAAACGTTACATGACCAGGGTATCGAATATCTGAAACATAATCCTTCATCGTGTTCATGTTCTTCTTCACCCTATAACTATAGTCCTGCTGGACACGTTATTACAGGTGACTTAAGTATAGTTAACAATGAGGACCTTAGATCAAAATTTTTAAACTGAAGATCCTAAATATTGGGAACCCTGATCCTTCACATGGCGTCAGAATTTTATACATTTTATGGATTCTGTAGAAGATTACGCCAGACGATGGGCCAAATATGAAAAAGAAGACGTTGACACTTTATCAGATGGATTAAATGTATCATATCTATGTTACAATCTCATATAAATGATTGAGGGTCAATATGAAAACCATCTTCCCTTCTGTATTCAATAATCCAGAAGTGAAAAAAGAATTAGATAACATGATCAGTACGTACTAGTCCCTGCTGACAACGCAGGTAACAACAATGTCTTCGTTTGTAAGCTCATTATTTAATTGTATTTTAGAAGAACTTGCATTTAAATCTGTAAGTAGTAATCCAACTTATACTCATAGTTATACTCAAAGAAGAATCCTCAAAATCATATGTCAGTTTTGAATATCTTTAAGATCCAAAAGTACCAAAATATAAGTTCTATGGTCCATACAATGATCTTGTCAAATACTATTTATCATTGAGTCAAATGCTAACTGACATTTTTCATTCTAACTGTTAGTCCATTATTGATATACTGTATTGACGACGGATTTTTCCATTATTTCCCGATGATCAAGGAGTACATGGTTGGTGTGACCGGTCAGCAGACGTTGCTTACTCCTCTATGGCACCGCATCCCACCTTTGATGTTTTGCAGGTCCGTGTTTGCTCTGCTCTTATTTTGTATTGTTTTATGGACTTTAGTTCTTGAATACTGTTCGCTATGTTCATATGTTTCATTGCTTCCGCATTTAAAGTCTTTATGTTCCATGGGAAACGAATACCCCTGAACTCAAGGGTTAAAAGTTTTTAAAACGTTTGGAAATCCAAGAATGTGAAAATAATAATGGTTGGAAATGAAAAAAAAAAAAAAAAAGCCTGGGACTTTATGTAACGCGAATTTCCTTCAAAAGTTTCCAAGAATTTGTCATTTGGCCCAACTACAAGTTGGACTATTGCAAAAATTCATACGGGAAATTTGTCATAGTCTGATGCAGAATTTGTTATTATTATCAAAGAACTGAGGCTGGAATGTTTAAACAACCAACGCAGAATGCATAATGAACAACATCAGTTAGCAACTGGTCCATTTCCATAATTTTATAATTCTGATTAATATGACATTTGGAACCATTTTAAAAAACATTGAAATATTTTAAAACTTGATGTAAGGATCCCAAAATCCAGTTCCATTTAGAGGTTATTGTCAAATTAACCGTCCACTCCCACCTTTAGCCCTTTGTCTTGATAAGATCAATTAAGATTAAAAAGTAACTTGCATCATAAAATAGTTTTTTCATAAACAGAACTGCAAATGTGATGTTTCTTCCTTTTTCTAAATTTTACAGATATGCAGTTTAATGTATAATTAGTCTCATAAAATATTTGTTTTTCGCAAAGAAAAGAATTCATTTCGACTTCCGCACATATGTTAGTGGCAAAAAGTGTCCAATATCAGAGAACTATATTCGCAATTAATAGATTACATGTAATTACTTAGTTAAAAATAATTATAATCTAATTCTAAATACAAGTACACTGGGAATGAGTTAAGATGCTCGAATTCCTTTTTGACAATATCTATATAGTCTTTGGACACACAATCTTCCAACAATTCCTCGGCCATAAAATTGGCGGTCATCGCAGAATCTAGAGCAAGCGTGTAACATCCCTAGTTGCATCATCTATCAGAATTTATTCGGTACAGGTAGGGGTGAATTTATACTGAAATGTACATGTACCTGTTCAAGCAGAAGGCATTTCTATTTTAGGTCATAACACAGAGCTTTTTAACAGACGATAACATTAAAACATCAAGTGTTGTTTTCAGGCTTAGGAGAAAGGGTTTTAGAGTGAATTTTTAGGCATTATGAGAAAAGGGCGTGATTTGAATAGGAAAAAAGAAAAATAGAATCTTGCCTCTCTAAATGGCATAATTTTCGATCTTTTTGGCTTTGTTACACTTTTAACATCTGATGATAATTTTTGGATAAGAGTTTCAAAAAATTACGAAAGGTTTTCTGATTTATTGTTAAAAACATTAGCCTATCGAAATTAGGATTCAAATTATTCCAGGTTTGTGGCGAAAGGTTTTTTAGAAGAAAATTAACATTTTTTTTTCCTTTTGAAGTATATACAGTACTGTTAGTTTTAGATTCCTATTGTTCCATGCTGGTTGCACACAAAGATATTTTTTGCAGAGAAATATCTTTCTGAAATATCTTTCGAAGATTCATATTAAATGTACTGTAGCGCCAAAAGAAGCGTATTGATCCCTATATATTTTACGACATGATTTTTAATTAAGCTATGTGTGTAGGAAATAAAAATATACTTGACAAAAAAGTTTAAGACTTTAAATATCAGGAGTTGACATCGTTAATAAAACTTAGCATGTATTTTTTCCTGAGCTTGAAGATTATAGAAACCTTTATAATTATTATTTGTTAATTATTATCATTATTATTAGTATTATTTTTCATGCAAAATCAATGTATACATAGGACCTTGTCATACTGCCTAAATCTTATCTAGGATGATAAGACGGCACCCGTCAGACAATGGGACACTTTTGACTAACAGTAATTATCCTGATGGCTGCATGAAGGTGTGCCACTAACTTGTACCTTAAGGTATGTCACTCGTCAGCCTTTTAGAAAATTTCAGTCAGAACCTCTTACTTAAAAACTATTTATTACAATTCAATTTTTATAAAATATTTATATTCAACAATGTAATTTTTTTTTAACATTCGTCGAAAAAAAACTGCTTAAAAATCTACAAAGAAGCCAGATTTATGAGGGTCTATAGCTATTTCTTGTGGTGGAAGGATATTCAGCAGAAATTTCTGCAAATCTGCACATTTATTAAATTTAATGTCTTGAAACTTTTGCCTCACATACTTTTACACGGAGAATATTTTCCGTTATGATATTGCAGTAATATTTAATATAGGTCTTAATTTATATTTTTAGAACAAGTTTTACACCTTCCCTCAACAAACTTTGCCAAGAAATGAAGATACATTAAAGAAGTCAAGATAACATTTACACCATTTTTTGCCTGAAAATCACATATTTTGACCAATATTTCAAAATTAACATCACTGACCCCA